TTTTGAATATCTGTTACAGGTGACTCACAAATTGTCTTACCACCAAAAACGCACTTTTTACTACACGCCATCTACAGGAGACCAATGAAGTTAAAATCGCTATTAAAAATTTTTTTTATGTACTTCGAGACTTACTTAATCATCTCCAGAAGGAATTATGTTAACAAATATTATAGTTTTTTTTTCTGCTTTAATTTTAAAATGTGTCTTTTTTTTTAATCGCATGAGACTGTCCCCTTAAAATAGAAAATTCTGAACAAAAACATACCTTATAACCCTGTAATGGTTCTTCTTCTAATGACGGCTGTACATATCTCCACACAACCTTGATTGTGGATGGATTGATGCCATACACCATAACAGAAGAAGGTGGTTTTTGGGGAGCTTTTCTATACGTACGTTCTAAAAGAGATATAAATTTTAGACATTTTTCTTTATTTCAAATATTATTCATTATTTCAATCATCGAAAAAATCATAATTAAGGTAGATCATGAAATCACATAAAGTCACAATGCTTGCAAGAAAAAAAAACGGTATTCTTACCAATAAAACGTTCACTCTCTGGTCCTTCTCCAGCCGAATTGTAGACCATTGCCTTAACGAAATAATAAGTATCCGGTTGAAGACCAACAATGAGAGCCCATGGTTGTATTTTTCTTGACAAATAGTATACAGCATCTTGTTCGTTCGTATCTTTTTTCCAGTATTTGATCTAAAAACATAATAACACCTTAGATTTTTTTATAAGGTGTTAGCAGCTCAACAATTTTGCTGAAGTAATAAACTCACAGAAAAATTTCGGTCCTCCTAATAGAGGGTTAGACATAGGATTAGCTTCTCTACTCTATAAAAGAAATATTAAGAAAATTCCAGTAACAGCCTGAGAAACGACAGATAGAACAGTAAAAACCAAAGCTACAGAAGAGAAATATGAATTTTGGTCCCTGGAATACATTTTTTTTTTTTTTTTTTTTTTCGTGGAATGTTATGGCTTTGGCGGAGAACCAATTAGCCAGACTATGTTAGATTGAATCATTAATTTGTGTGAATATTATCAAACCTGAGCATGATGTATTCATTTGTTTTGTTAGTAATATACAAAATAGTAAGGTTTTTTTTTTTTTTCATTGGTATAAATTTTTTTAATTAGTATATTTTTTTTCAATTGTTATATATTTTTTCAACTAGTATTTTTTTTTTTTTTCTCGCTAGGGCGTCAACCCGGTTCATCCCCTCGAGGTTTCAGCCCTTTTTTTTTTTTTTTTTTTTTTTTTTTTTTTGGATATCATTATTTCCTGAAAAAAGAATACAATTTAGGTCTATTGGAAGGTTTATCTTGTAGTAAATTAAGTTTTTATATAGTTTATTAATGTTTACATTATTTATTGGACATTCAAGTAAAACATGTACTAATGTACCATTTTACCACAACTACAACATGGATCGTCTGTAATTTTCATTTTGTGCTTATAATAGGGTGTTAGTGCATGATTAGCACGTACTCGGTTTATTGTGGCGACAAAGTTTCGGTTTGGTATTTTGTGAAACCATGGTTTTCTGGGAATTTTTTGCTGGTGTTTACAAAAGTTTGTTCCGGTTGTTGAAGCGTTGTATAGGTTTTGCCACATCTCATTTATTTTGTTTCTTTGGTTTAAGAATAAGTCGGACGGGGGTAGTTTAAGATTTAGTTCTTCTCCTAATGTTGGGGCTGTTTTTGCTAAGGCATCTACTATTTCATTACCTGTTATACCTGCGTGTCCCTTTACCCATAGATATATGACGACTTTATTCTTGATGTGTATCTCATTATGTAAATAAAGGATATTTGCTTCAATATGATTAACTGATCTATTTATGTTTACTTTTTTAAGTTTATCTACTGCACTTTTGCTGTCAGTACATATTATGAATTTGTCGTGGTTAGAGCCGAGTATGTATTTCATAGCTTGCACTATTGCTGTTAATTCTGCAGTGTATATGGAAGCTTCCTTTGGTAGAATAAATTGTTTGTCAGTATTTTCTTCCAAATGGTAAAAGGCACAGCTGGTATATTCTTTTGACTTTGATCCATCAGTGAATATAGAATCATAGTTTGGCCAGTATTTGTTTTTTGTTTTGGTAAACTTTGTTTGATTTATACTTGCTACTTCTTGACTTTCAAAATAGTAGGTTCTAATTTCACGTGAAAAAATTTGTTCAGGCGAGTAACTTAGAACCGGGGGGAGTTGGTTGGAATAAAGTATATCTGTAATGCCAGGTATTTCTGTGAAAGTTTCTACTATGAGGGGGGTTTTCTTGAAGTGCCAGTATCTATGGGTCAAAACTTGAACTGTTAGTGATTGTATACTATTGAGGTAAGAAGTTTTTTTGGAAATGGTTTTTATCATAAATTTTCTGCTCAATAGTTGTCTTCTTAGTTTAAGAGGAGGTTCCACGGCTTCAGCTTGTATTATATTTATGGGTGTTGACTTAAGATATCCCAGGCAAACTCTTAAGCATTTATTTTGTTGTATCTCGATTTTATTTAGATGTGTATCTGCTGCTGTTCCATAGAGTTGACTTCCATAATCCATTATTGATCGTACCATTGTTTTGTAGAATAGTAAAGCCGTATTTGGATCTGCTCCCCACTTTGCCCTACAAAACGCTCTTAAAATATTTATAGAATTACTTGTTTTTTTGATAATTTGGTGGATACAGTCCTTCCATAATAGTTTTCTATCTAGATGCAGACCAAGATATTTTACAGAGTTGCTAATACGCAGTTTATATTTTCCTATTGTTAATGGTCTTTGATAGTTGTTTCTGTTTCTAGAGAAAATACATATATTGGTTTTGGACTCGGATATGGAAAGTCCCATGTTGTCTAGGCATTTTTGGATTTCTATAAATTCAGCATTGATAGTTTCTATACATTTATCCTCTGATTTGTTACTGGTGTAAATAACAACATCATCGGCGTATTGAATAATTTTGGACTTAGGTGATATAACATTTTCTATGTCCATTGTGTACAGGCTGTAGAGGATTGGGCTCAAGATACTACCTTGTGGTAATCCAGATCTACATATTCTTGATTCCGAAACTTCTTTATTTATCTTTAGGGAAACTGATCGATTAGAGTAAGCTGATTTTATGAAGTTGGCAAAGGAGGTTGGTAGACCAATATTGATAAGCTTCTCTTCTAGTATATTTATTTGAACATTATCATATGCTGAAGTTATATCCAAAAATGTAGCCAAAGTGCTGTATTTGTGTGTGAATCCTAGATAGATGTCATTTACTAGTATCGTTAGGGGTTCTAAGGAAGATCTTCCCTTTCTAAAAGCATATTGTGAGTCAGGTAATATTTTTTCATTTTCTAGCCAATATTCAAGCCTGTTCTTTATCATTCTTTCCATGGTTTTAAATATACACGATGATAAAGCTATGGGTCTATATGAATCTGCATTTCCATTCTGTTTTCCAGGTTTTTTGATAGGTACTACGATGTATTCTTTCCACATTGGTGGAAAAGGAATCTTATTTATCCAAATCGAATTGAACAATTCTAACAGGGCTTTCTTATGGCCTAAGGGCATTTTATGCAACATATTGTATGAAATGTTATCCGCCCCGGGAGATTTATTATTTGTTGATTTAATGCATTGATCGAGTTCCCATAATTGAAATAGTGATTGTAGAAAAGAGTGTTTCTATTTACGGTAGCTATTTGTTGAGTAATGTTGTTTTCAACCCATGGGGGTGAGATTTTTGTGTGGAATTCGTTTATCCAGTCTTCTTTGGGGTCTATTGGGGGTTTATTTACTTGTTTTCGGTTTTTGTATCGGTTTACTTTGTTCCACACTTCTTTGATTGGTGTATTTTGATTTAGATTTTGGCAATAATTAATCCAGCTTTTTTTCTTAGCTTCTTTGAATGTTTTTTTAGCTACTGCATCAAGTCTTTTATATTCAGTTAGATTATTAAGATTTGGAGCATGTGTGTAGGTTAAGTAAGCTTGTTTTCTTGCTTTAGCAGCTATGTTACAAGTTTCATTCCACCAGTCTTTTGAACAATGATTTCTATTTTGTGTGTTTGATTTTTGTAAGGGAATTGCCTCGTTGGCAGCTTTGTTAATATTGTGGATAATGCCCCTTAGTGATGATTTTGGTTCTGTAGCTTCAAGTGTAGCGGTATATACATCCCAATTAGCAGCCTTGAGTCTCCATATGTTATGTTTTGTCTGTTTAATTTGCGCAAGCGGGCTATTCCTTCCAAATTGTATGTGTATTGGTAAGTGGTTAGAGCCATAAGGTTCTTCTAAAGTAGACCACGTAATTAGGTGCGTCAGATCCTGTGTACAGAGGGTCAAGTCTACAGCTGACTTCTTATTGTTTGCTAGTGTAGGTGATCCATCATTCAAAATTACTAGGTTGCATTGTTCGATAGCTTCCAAAAGAATCTTGCCATAGATATCGTCATATCCATCATTCCAAGCCAAACTATGTGCATTAAAGTCGCCCCCAATTATGAATGGTTTTGGGATTTGTTCCAAAAAGTTGATCCACTGTTGTAATGATATTTTAGTCCTCGGTTTAAAGTATACTGAAACGAAGTAAATTTTTTTATGTATAAATGGAAAATTAATCGAGATACAAGTATACTCAAAGTTTATTGTAGTTGGAATTGAGACTTCTTGGTATATTAAGTCTGATTTTAATAAAATGGCTGAGCCGCCGTACCCGTCGTCCCGGTCACAGCGAATATTGTTGAAGCCTTTAAAATTATAATATTTTTCTGCTTTTAAACCATGTTTCCGATAGAAGTGCAATGGAGTAGTTGCCCGTGTCTAGTAGATATTCTAAGTTAGTTTTATTAGAAACTGCCGAACGGCAGTTCCATTGAAGAATATTTATTGCATGGTTGAGGTCTGAGAATGTGATGACGTGTTTCCTTCTTCTTCTTTAAGTGCCGTCTCCTTTAAGAAGGTTGGCTATCATCACGGCTATCTTCACCTTTGACACTGCTGCTCTAAACAGCTCAACAGAGTTACAATTGTACCACTGCCTCAAATTGTTTAGCCAGGATACACGTCGTCGGCCTATGCTTCTTCTGCCCAGTATCTTTCCCTGTATAATGATCTGCAGCAACTCATATCTCTCACCTCTCATGACATGACCCAGATACTGCAATTTTCTTATTTTAATTGTATTTAATATCTCCTTTTCCTTGTTCATTCTTTTTAAAACGTCGTTGTTCGTAACCTTATCGATCCAACTTATTTTTAAAATTCTTCTATAAGCCCACATCTCAAACGCTTCTATTCTGTTACTTATATCTTTTTTAAGCGTCCAAGCCTCCATTCCATATAATAACACAGAAAATACATAACATCTAAGCATTCGTACTTTAAGTTGCAGACTCAGATCATTGCTGCAAAGTACTTTTCTCATAGTATTGAATGTTGATCGGGCTTTTCCTATACGTGATTTGATTTCCTGTGTGTAATCGTTGTTTTCGGTTATGATTGTTCCCAAGTATGTATATCTGTTCACCTTTTGAACGAGTTCGTCCCTAATCCATAACGTGTCCTGTTGTTGTGTCTTTGCGATGGTCATGAATTTCGTCTTTTTGATATTTAAAGTAAGTCCAGCCTCTTCGCTACTGTCTACAATCTTATTTATCAGAACCTGCAATTCTTCAACTGACTCTGCGATTACTAAAGTATCA